ACCTAAATAGGTGTATTTGAGACGTATTTCGCAGAACATGGGCCATAGAACACTCGATAAATCGCACATTTAAACGCTCATAACTCCTTCCAAATAGTAGTTCGGCAGGTGGTAAGCATTTATTTGAGGTCAGCGTCTAAAGGAGAGCCCAACGATATATAGTTTATTTGGTTCGGGTGGGTTAAGTTCTGACCATTCCTTGCCTAGCAAAAAATTTTGTGAGATGGGACATACCAACAATTGAGTGCGTACTTACCTTCTGGAAAACCTATATAATTACAAGTCAATCCACTTATTTTCTTACACTTGGTAAGACGCTTGCAGAATAATTTCCTTGAACCAAAATCCTATCCATCTTCTCTTCACGTTCTTCTTCTGCTGTGAATATTTTTGCCTTGTTAGTTTCCTCTCTACCTTCAGCCTTCATGGCCGGTTCGGTTATTCCTCTTGCCTTTCATTGTTGATTGACCAGAAATGGACGTGTATCGAAAAAAGTTCCTGATTATTAGCCTGTAACACCCATCTTTGAAGGGTCTAGTGATCCAGAGGCCAACGGACGTGTTCGACGTCATCGAGCTACAGATGAAAATTTGGTCGGTTGTGTCAGGGAAGAGCATAAGGATCAGCGATCCTCTAATAGGTAGACTTCCATCACCGCCTTTGAAAAATTTCTTGCTATGACGCCACTAAGTCTCCTTGAGAGTTCGAGAAGCGCGGTCCTTAGCCGGATAGTTAAAAATGAGGAGTATGTGGCTACCAGGAAAGGCAGCACAATTTTGAACATAAGGTGTGTAATGATTTCAATGTGCACAACGTATGGCGCCCGTAGAGCTTTATCGCATGTGTATCCTAGGGTCGGGCCTAGATTGATCAAACTTATTTTGTCGTCACGGTTGCTCGCGCCAATGCTCGGCTATCGCGTCTCTCTGGTTTTCCTGACGATTACTTTAAGAAGACTACGTTTGTCAGAGCGTAAGAGGGACTTGGGCTTCGGAATGAAACTCGTGAAGGCAACAGGGCAGATCAAAGAAGGAGCGGGTGGTCTTTCGTGACAACGTAATGCACATCCCTCAGCTGCAACACCGTTTTCAGGGAAACGCTTGAGTGTGCATGGTAATATTCAGGGTCAAGCAAGGGGTGTGGCACACGACCGCTGGTTACGACCCCCCCCCCCCCTGATTGCTGTCTTAATAAGACTCCCCCCATCCCCACCTGAACTATATACCTAAGATAGCATTACCAGAGTTGAGAAAGAGGTCAGGCACAAGTCTTTCGAAAACAACCCCCCCCCCCCATGAAAGCCCTCAAACGACCAATTCTTCCTCCTCTTAACCTCTGGACCTCAAAGTGTGACATTCTGGAGGACACCAACTTTTTCTAGAGAGTCTTCAGATTTTTGAGAGCTGTACTCCCGATTTCCTGTGACTGCACTTTACAATCACACGTAATTTGACGGCTGATTTTGATCTGAATGGGCATATTGAAAGGGCCATAATTTTCTTATGGGTGGGGCGTTCGGCTCCAAATTTCCAGTGTAGCAAAAAGAAGCTATGTGCTCAATATTCACACCAGCAATGGAGTGCTTTCTGGATTTTGAAGGCAAGTTAAGGGGGTGCGGCACACCCCCTTAAAAGCTGCGGCAGCCGCAGCTTCTAAGGGGGTGTGCCGCACCCCATTAACTATATCAAAAAACATTTTTAGCGGAAAGTATTTATATGAATCGATAGTTTAAACCTTGTAGATTCCACAGGACTGTTTGGAGCCTGATTCGTCTTCTTAGCTCTGTATAATATTTGGTGAAAGCACAGCGATCAAAAGCGAAAAATGGGAAAAACGAGATTTTGGTTGGCTTCTAATTCCACAGTTTGCAGGTCTTCTGAAGCGGGATTCCTGAGGTGGACAAAGAAGGAGTAGTGCTTTGTTTTGAGTGCAAAAACGGATAGCTAATCCATCTTTGAAACAAAGTTAACCATGTTGGAATTTGACCATTTCATTTAGGTAGCCTAGTATCTTGAATCTTCAGAATTCGCTCACACTTTGTCTACAGGGGTTAATTGACATGCTAATTATGGATATGATACAAATATCATGTTATCACTATTATCAGATTACCCAACTACGACCCCCTCCCCTTTTGACTCCTCAATACGACCCCCCAGGTGTGGCGTGCCGCACCCCACGCTTGACCCTGGTGATATTCTCTTCAATGTCTGCTTACTGAACACTCATCGTTTGTGAATATTAAAATTTAAGCTGACTTACTTAGAACCGAGATTTTTCACAAAGGCGGGGTTCTAACAATAAGTTCTAAGTTGAACCTCGCCTACAAGCGGTACTTCAAGCTCAGCGAAAGACATGAAAGCAAGAAAGTTATTGAAGGCAGTGGCTCGGCAGATCCTCGACCTTTGGTTTTTTCGCTTACCTGGGGTGATTCGACGCGCTGATTCCGGAAATCCACTTTTCAGACTGCGAAAACGGCAAAAACCAGCAATTCCCAAGCCCCCTCATTTTGGATTTGGACGAATGGAACGCTTCCCGCCATGGTTAGAGACGCAGAGTCGTTGCGAGACCCCATGTTTATAGCATTGCGGCATGCCGCCTCTGATGGCGTGAGGGATATCGCGAGCTCGTCCGAGCTTGTAAGAATGGCTTGCGCGCACGGGTTTAGGGGCAATTTTCTAGGCAGGGGCTGCATGCTGTCCGCTCGGACCTGCTCCATTTCTCGTGTTTTGGGTGCAAACAACCTTCTATATGGAAAATTTCGAGGTGTTCGATTTTGCGGAGCCGTCTTCAACGGTCAAACAGTGTGCTGTCTTGGGACACCCTGTGTCAGTGTATTTGATCACTTCTATCTGAGTTAGTCTGGGCAGGCGATATACCGTGACAAACTGAAGTGTGAAATAGGCCTTCCGATGAAATTTCAAAAAATCTGAAAACTTGCGTAGCAAGATGTTCAGGCGGTTGATCTCACTACACAACTTTTTACCGGTTTTTCGAGCTGTCCCAATGGTGTAATCATATTTCTGACGAACATTGGGAAGCAGTGTTACCCTAAACCCGAACCAACTTATAAAAGACGCATGCCGTGAAGTGCATATTTCATATTCAGAATTAGCGACATCGATTAGCCCAGTACGAGTTTCTAGCTTTTCTGGTTTTCTTTTCAGAGCAAGGAATTGATTATAATGGCCTAAATTCCTTATCAAAGTTTTTACCGTCATTTTACAGTAATGAAGGGTGATTGATGAATAGCTTCCTACAATTACTCTAGGTTGAAACTCGCAGCGAGGTCTTCGCTCTACAATCAGACTCCAAGCTCAGCGAAAGAAACGTGAGCAAAAAAGTTATTGACGATCAAACAGTGCGTTCATCTCTTTGGGACACTCTGTGAAATTTTGGCCCGTAGTAAACCCCACTTCACTTCAAATGATCTCAACTGAGGGGCTGAGTTGAGGTATTTAAGATAAACTGACTAGCGGTCACTCTCACATGCTTAAGAATGCGACCTGATCTGAAGGGTTAGTGTCAGCGCATGTGCCGCGATAAATTCACCTGAAATCCGTTAGAGCAGCCTCGATTTTGAGATAATTGACCGAAATAGTGTGCAAGGGATGAGACGCAGAGGAAAATCCAGTAAGTTGCTCGTGAGTAATCGCCATTCTCTCAAAAAACTTCGCTTTAAAAAAATCATATATCAAAGTGATACAGCTTTGCTTCGAAAACGAACGGCGGCTCTTGTAGAGCAGGATTGACTCTTTCGAATGATACAGATACTTTGACGTAAAACGCCGCTCAATCGAAAAATGGCTACAAAAATAAAAACTCTACGGACTTGTGAACCTAATTGGTATTAACGGTTCTCAGTGTTCAATAATTACAATAAATTTCTTCGATGAATTACTCATGCCGTTAACACGCCACCACACATTTGAGGCTTACTAACTCTGAAGCAAACACTTTTTGGAAAGCTATGCAATTCTTTAATAAGTCCGTATTACAAGAATGTTTGAGCTGACATGAATCACCACATAAAGAAATACTTGTCATTTTGTGAACGAAACTAGCCAACGGGACGTCATCTAGGTTGCTTATATTCATATCTGAAAAAGAAGATGAAGCCCTCGTCTCATCTTTTTACTTTCAAAAATTTTTCAGTTGCCTCATACATTAGTGATAATGATGGCGCAGAAATTCTTGGGTCCTATTTTGCTTTTATTTCCCATGCCGCTGAAGTCGTTGATAATGATACAGATGTGAGTGATGCTGCGCAGTCTTACCATTCTTGTTACACTGTTTACTTCCATCCCGTACTTGTACATCATTTTTGTGAAAGCTAAAGCTTTCTGTTACAGAAATTTCTGACGGAATTCCTCACAAGGGAAGGCCGAAAGTTGAAATCTGCTATTCAAATAAAATGTGCACCAATTTTAAGAGCATAAAACGCTGATTCCAAAACTGTCTTTGCTGTTTTGCTAGACGTTTCCGGACACTAAGTTATGAGTATTTTATGGAGTGAAAGATGAAAAATGATAGCAAAATCTAGATGACAATTGTTTGGTCTTTCAGCTGTCAAATAATCAATATGATGAGTACGTGTGTATTTGACAAAAAGTGTTTATGCTTAGAACGCTCTGATATCCAACGCTGGGCCATTTGCGCGATTTTGGACAAATTTGTTCCAATTGCACTTTCAATTTTTTAAGCCAGAAGACGTTCATAACTAGGGGAGCAAGAGCTCACGCACAAGTCCTTCAAAAACGACTACTCCCCCCCCCTTGTGAAAGTCCGTAAACACCCCTCCGCTTCACCTCCAGGATCTCACGTTAAAGAAGATCAACATTTACTGCACGGTTCTTGTTCTTTGGAAGCCTGTAGGCAAAATTTCTGCGATTGTACGAACACGCGCAACTTGGCGGCAAATTTTGAATCGGGGTAGCTCCCTCTCTTGATAATTTTCACAGGGGTTAAGTGTAGGCTAAATTGCTTGGCAACAAAATTACCTGACTCCGAATTTTCTTTCGTAGTATATCAAACCACCACCTCCACTGGAATGATTGGAAAAGTAGCCTTCGTGATCTTCAAAAATTTTGATTATTTAACAATTTAAGCGTGAACTCAAACGTACCAGCGAGATTGACATCCTCGCTATCAACGTAAATAAGTTTTGCTCCTTTCCTGATAGCGTGGATGTAACCACTCATCTTTCCTTCAACACAGAGTGTCAAGCCAAGTGAAGGGTAATTTTATTCAGAGAACAACAGAAGAGAGCAATTATCAGATTGGCACATAAGTATAGCGGATCGTATAGCTTTTGTCTTTTTGAAAATGGCACATTCATCCTTTGCTATAGTTAAAATTATAATGTAGATTATATAAATTCAATTTTGACGATTTTCGTCATCACCTGTAAAAGTGTAGTAGTTTTACGACAGAAGAGGAGAATTTATTGTTGAATTTTCTGGCACTTCGTTTGAGGAGATTCGATATGTTGGAAAAAAATAATAAGCATTCCCTTGAGAGGGCCTCTTTTGTAAGGTTAAGAAGTGATTTTTCATCTTCAGCAGCAATGCATATGATGTTCGTGTTCATGTTCATGTCGAGCTGAGTCCCATTGCGCGAACCCTTCGGCAAATTTGAAGTCTTGCCGCCTAGAGTAGAGACTGCCTTTCCAGACTTAAAGCATTCAACTTGTTCAACATCTCAAAGCCGCCAAATCAACATTTGTATTCAAACATTTCCCCTTCACTGTACTCATTGAGTTAACTTTCAGCAACATGCTGTCTACAACGTCGTCTTTTTGGTTGATTCAAAAATGAGCAAGGCTTCATTCTTTCTTGAACACCGTAAAGCTACGATTTCAACAGTTTCTAAAAAAAAGATTAGATCTCTTTTATTGTGTTAACAAAATGAAGCGGTTTGCGCAATCTTGTAGCTTTCTTTACCATATAATGTCAAAACCGAGAGCGCTACATACGAGAAAAAATTATGGACGAGTTGCAAAATTCATGTGCCAACCTAATAAAAGCTGTCAGCAGAGTTTACTGACTTGCTTGCAATCTTCCAAATCTCCTACGCAGCGCTTTAACATAGTAGACATTTGCCGAAGACTCCTTTTTCGCTTCTTCGGCTCCCACAAACACGATATTCCAGCCCTACAATGTTGAGACATTTTGATAAGATAATCTTATATATAAAGCAGAATGTCTGTTTGTCTGTATGTATGTATGTATGTATGTATGTACGTATGTTCCGAATAGAAAATTCCATTTCTGAACCGATCCGGACCAAACCGAACACACATACGCTACGGGCCCCGGCGGGTGTCATAGGCTACTTTTCGTCATCGATCGATGTCGATTTTATCGATTTTTATCGATTTTTTTGCTGAGTTCACCTACGGGGCTGGGAGTTGGCACAGGGGGGTAATCGAGCATGGGGATTCCGAATACAATATTGGTTTTCGGGATTATCGATTACTTTTATCGATTTTATCGATTTTTTTGCAAAGTTTGAGCTAGGGGGCTGGGAGTTGGCACAGGGGGGTAATCGAGCATGCTGATCATCCCCAAGGGGGGTGATCAGCATGCTCGATTACCCTCCCCCCTGTGCAAACTCCCAGCCCCGCAGGTCAAACTTTACAAAAAAATCGATAAAATCGATAAAAGTAATGGACGATCCTGAAAACTAATATTGTGTTCGTAATCAGCATGCTCGATTACCCCCCTGTGCAAAATCCCAGCCTCGCATGTCAAAATTTACAAAAAATCGATAAAATCAATAAAGGTAATCGATAATTCTGAAAACTAATATTGTATTCGGAATCCCCATGCTCACTTCCCCCCCTGTGCCAACTCCTAGCCTTGTAGGTGAACTCTGCAAAAAAATCGATAAAAATCGGTAAAATCGACATCGATCGATAACGAAAAGTGGACTGTGACACCCGCCGGGGCCCGAAGTGTGTGTGTGCCAAGTTCGGTCCGGATACGGCGGAGCCGGGTAAGCCAGCTAGTAGGTAATATTCTACACAACAAAGTAAATGAATGAAAGCAGAAAAGAAAAATAATAAAGTGCTAGTGCTATTCTGAGGCACTTAGAGGCTATTTACTTTCTGTGTTTGAGCAATGTAATAATAATGCCCGTACCACAAGGTACCGTGACAGGCAGAGTGAATGCAAAAAAAATATGAGGGACTGTACTCGATGCGCGAGACAAAACTCTATAAGAAGTCCATTAAATGTACACAAGATCTGCTGATTGTTGCAGCCATAATCTGGAAGTATATAATCAATG